CAAAGCTTTTTAACACATAACATCATAATTGAAACTTGTGGTTTTTATGTACAAACATAACTACAAAATGTATTCCAGTCTATGTTACTTTTAGTTAAATTTCTTGATGCACAGAGAACTCCCAACCTTGCTTGTTTAAAGAAGGAAAGACTTGGTATATAATCTAATGATTCAGCCTTGTGGATTACTGTCTTTTTGGTACGGATTTATGATTTAAGAAATAATCTGTGAAAAATATGTGCTATTGACAAAATGAGACTCCTACCTCAACAGTTCATGGAATAATAAGAGACCTAGTATTATGTCTAATGTTCTTCAAAAAAATAATATCCTCACTTGGAGAGTGTCAAATATATACATATTTTTGGGATTGACTTGTACAAGTTGCCCTGTAGGACTTGTTACATGTATTTTTGACTGATCCATATTATTTACAAAGGCTAGATAATTCTACCTTTTTAGAGCAAGAACAGTATGTGTTAATGTAAGGAACGTCTGTTATTATTTAACTCCTTTGTGGACATGAATTTCTATCAAATATTCTTTGCACCATAATAGATCTCTTTTTTCAACAATCTTATTTTAGAAAGCATCCTCAGATGGAAGTGTGTAAGGGTTTTGCTCATCTCCCCATCCTTAGTAAGGCTGAGAGGCTGGAGCAGTTTTGGGGTTGAAATGAGCACATGGTTAATCTCAAGTGTGAGTTTGGGACTGCCTGGCTGCTTTGTATGTTACTTATGCAGAACCATTGAGGAGGCTCTATTCCGAAACATACTAATCCTCCACTATTTCAGTTTTCCTAAAACGTGTTTTTTCTTCCTTTCTGAAATTAACCTTCTATCTTAGTGACCAAAAAACAAACAAACAAAACCAAAAAACTTTGATTACTGCTATAAAGATGGAGAAAAATGTCAAATTCTACTTAGCCTTTAGTGTCTCTGGAATCATTCAAATGTGTTTTCTGTAAGAGAAACCTATTTGGAATGTTTTTCTTTTCCCCTATAAGTTGTAATTCTAGTTGTATAAGCAGCAACCAGAATACTGCTGCTTTAAAAAGTCTCCCAGTCAGACTATATGATCTAACAATTCAATATTGTAAATGCACTTGTCTTCTCTCTCCATAAAAGGGTACTTTCCTATTAAAAAAAAAAGAATGTGCTAGAATTTTGTATATTAACTTTTTAATCTGTGAACTTGCTCAATTCACTTATTCCAGTGGCTCTCATAGATTTCCTTGGGTTTTTCACATGAACCATGCATCATCTGCAGATAGGCACAGTTTTCCTTCTTCCTTTTCAAGCTTTATGCCATTTATTTGTTTAGCCTTAAGGCAATGGCCACAAGTTCCAGGACAATGTTGACTAGAAGGTGTAAGAATGGATAGCTTGTCTTGTTCCCAGTCTTAGGACACAATTCAGCCTTTGACAATAAGTTTAACACCTGTAGATTATTTTGGCAGATGTTCCTTGTCATTTTGGGGAAGTTCTCCTGTATACCTACTTGGCTAAGAATTTTTTTTAAATCATGAATAGGTGTTGAATTTTGTCAGATTTCTCCTGCAGCCATTGAAATGGTCATATGGTTTCCTGATACTTTTAATTTGCACTTCTCCTATTATGAGTGAGGCTGATCATTTTTTTCTGGGTTTAAGGGCCTTTTGTACTTCATTTTCTGTGATTTCTGGGTTCATAGCCTGCAGAGTTTCTGGCATTTTCTTATTGCTTTCTCGGGGTTGCTTATATAACTAGGGTATTTTATCCATAATACGAGCTCAACGTTTTACCCATTTCCTTTGTTTACTCTTCGATTGGGCTTTTTTGCCAGCAGAAAAATTGGGATTGTTGGGAACCGTCCTGCCTGGTTTCAGGGACTGTAGCCTTGCTAACAGGTGAGAGGGCCCCAAGGCTGGACCTGAGCAAGGAGGCCTTGGGAAAATAGGCCACTGAGGAGACAAAATTTGTCCCCTTGGCAGGGAACCCCTGACTCCCTCACATAACCCTGCTTAGACCCAGGGGATGGCTGGTTAGTCAATGACAGGTAAGATCCCTCGATGCCAGGGGCAACCTAAGACAGGCACAGTCGCATAGGGGTCATCAGGGAGGGACTTGGGGGACACGGAAAAGGGGCAAAAGACCCTCACACCTTAGCTTTGTCATGGCCAGAGTCCTCATTCTATCTGAAAGAAGTCTCCTTATCTCTTGGTTGCTCTGCTCCCCTGCCTGACACAATGCTATAGGCAGGAATGCATTAAATCCTATTACACCTGCTTTTCTAAGAAAGCCCTCAAGTTAATGAGTACTGGTGTTTGGGGTCAAGCATAGGAAGAGCTTATTTTCCCAGGTTTTAGGGCCGAATGGGCATCACTCTGTCTACCAGACCCTGACTCAGAAATACTCTTGGAATCCCTTTACTGTTATCTTTAAACCATATCTCCTGCCTTTAATCATTACTGTTTAACATTGATTGATGAGCTTTACTCACAGGCTGTAGATCCCTAAAAGAGCTAAACTCAGTTAATACCCAAGGAGAAAGGTGCTTGGGCTCTTCTCTTCTGAGAGATTAACCAGCCTTCTCTCCCCAGGCAGATCTTGCCTTGGGCATTTCCATTCCATCTGCGACGCTGGGGGACACCGGGGGATGGAGCTTCCCCTTCATGGGATTTTGTATCACTTCAGTTCTTTTTTTAAAGTTTTTATTTATTTCTCTTTAGAGAGAGGCAAAAGGAAGGAGAAAAAGGGGGAGAGAAACATCAATGTGCAGGAGGAACATTGATTTTTTGCCTCTTTCACACCCCCAGCTGGAGACCTGGCCCAAAACCCAGGCATGTGCCCTGACTAGGAATAGAACTGACAACATTTTGGTTCACAGGCTGGCACTCAGTCCACTGAGCCACACCAGCCAGGGCTCACTTTAGTTTTCAATTTGCTCTCGGGCAAGTTGTGGGCTTTGCCTCATCAGAAAGTCCTCAAGGAGCCTGCAGGTGTCCTCCTCCGGAGCTGAGGGCGCCACTGCTGTCTTGATGCTGTTCTCCTCCTGTTCGTTTTCAAAATACTGTAGTGCCCATCACACCAGAGGTGCCGGGGCCTAGAGACTCCCTGTCTTCCTGGGACGCAGAAACCTCTGTCTCAGGGCAAAGGATGGGAGTCTGTATATGTTTGCATTTCTCTCTGCTGAAGCCACTCAGGAAGTAAAAGAAAAATATTAAGTCCCCACGTAGCACTTCCTGCCACAAAGCCTGCTGTGGCTCCTACGATGCTAAGGGCAAGAACCCATACCCCTTTCCTTTGCCCGCGAGGTCCCACCGATGCCTCTAAATGAGTCTCGGCACATCGCGTCTCTGCCACCCTGCTCTTCTCAGGAACATTCTGACCTCATCCGGCCTCCCAGACTTTGCCGGGGCTGTATCCTCTGCGGGAACTCCCCCCACCCCCACGTCACCCTTTGGCCAATCTTATTTGTCTATGGATTTTGGTATCAAATCCCTTTCTCCAGAAAGCCCTCCCAGACCCAGGGGTCTCTCTCAGCAGCTTAGCCCCAAGGGCCACCGCAACAGTTCACAGCTATTAGGTTTGCTTATTGTTGTCTCCCCCAGGAGACCTTCAGCTTACCAGCTAGTGTGTGTCTGCTCTGCTCCCTGCTGTGTCCCCAGTACCCTGCACACGGGAGAGGCCCAGTAAGTGTCTGTGGGCAAGTGTCTGTGGGCGATTGAATTAAAGTCAACGAAATACATACCCAAGTCTTTTTGGGGCCAGAACTTGTGATGGGATTACAGAGATAAAAGAGTCCTTTAAAATCTCCCCCTCCAATTTTCCCCCCTCTTTTTAAATCCTTATCCAAGGGTATGTTTATTGATTTTAGAGAGGAAGAAAGAGAGGGAGAGAGAAACATCAATAGATAGGCTGCCTCCTGTATACACCCCAACCAGGGATCAAACCCTCAACCTACGTATGTGCCCTGATTGGGCCTCGAACCCACAACCTTTTGGTGTACTGGACGATGCTCCAACCAACTGAGCCACTCCACCAGAGCATCTCCCCAAATTTCTTTCTGGGGTTCATATCCTATGAAGGACACTGGCCCCGGTCTCACCTGGCTGCTGCCCTGATCTCCTACTTCCTCCACTCATGACGGCCTTGGGGGTGCTTAAGCAATCAATCGATCAGACCCTAACCCTGCTGCCCACCCTTTGTCCCCCTCTCTCCTCACCTCTCCCTGCCCTGTCAGCCTCCGCTGCTCCTTAGGCTGCTCACCTCGTTCCCACCTCAGGGCTCTTGTGTGCAGTGCCCTCTGCCAAGAGAGCTCTTTTGTCCTCCCTCAGATCCCCGCTAGGTGGGTCCTGGCCTTGGCAGAGCCCCCCGAGCCTTGGCCTGTGCCTGTCCCGTCAGCTGGCTTTCTGTGCTCTCCAGGATAACTGATCTGCCGAACAGCTGTGCCCTCTGGCAGGCCCAGTTGCCTTGTTTGAACTGTTGCTAGGGCTGAATGTAGGGCACCAGGCACAGAATGGGGGGCCTTGGTCCCTCCCAGGGTCTGCTGGGAGAAATACCAGGAAGGAGAACTTGACCTTTGTCTGGGACAACTTCCTGGGCAGATCCAACCCGGGTGCCTTCCCTGGGTGTAAAATTAATTACTCTGGTTGCCCAAGCTACACATGCCACAGATGGGTACACTGAGGCCTGGGGAGCTGGGGTGTTGCTAGGGCCCCACAGAGAATGGGTCCAGAGCCTCCTGAGGCCCTTGCGTGACCTGGATCCTCCTCTGTTCTCACCCCTTGGCTCTGGAGTCTCCAGCAGGCTGTGTGAGGAGGGCCAGCGCTATACAGGCTTCCGGAATATTCTGCCCCTCCCCATCTGGGCCCTCTCACCTCCCCGCCCTCATTTCCCCCACAAGGCCATGACTTTCGGTAAGTGACAGCCACTCAGGAAGCAGAGGGGCCCACACAGGAAAGAGCCCTGTGGGACTTTCCTTCCACTGCCACTTGGCTCTGCCCTCCCACTGTTGGCCCGGGGTCCCCACCTGCCAGGTAAGATCTGGTGGTGCCACATGGCTCCGGCCGGGCGCAGGGTGGGTGGATGGTTGTGTCTGATGATGTCAGAGCCGGTGGAGTTGGCAAGGTGACCGTAAAGGCACCTTTGCCTTCCAGGCCTCCGGGGAAAGCTGCTAGACAGATGTGAGCTTAGATGGCTGGCTCTGGTGGCCTCTGGCAAAGCTCTTTGGCCTGTGGCCCTCAGTTCTGTCTCACATAAAATGAGGCTTCACTTTCTCAGCTCTAGGGACCTGAATGAGTCACTGCGCACTTGCCCATGGGGAGCTCAGGATGCCCAGGGAAATGGTTCCCCGCCCAGACCCTCCCGTCCTCAGGCCAGAGCAGAGAGCGACCAGTCATTCTGGGACATAAAACAGGGGCATTTTTCTGGGCCCCAAACCCTGGGTTTTCACCTCTGACTTTCCCTTTTTTTTCTCACTTTCAATATTTAAACAATCACGTTGTTGTTGTTGTTTAAGATTTATTTTAAACAGAAGGTGTGCTGTGTTGATTCTGTTTATATAAAAGTGCAAAGACGGACAAGGTCAGGTTGGCTGTTAGAAGTAGGACAGTGGTCCCCTCTGTCAGGAGTGACAGGGGTCCCTGGGCTCCTGAGGCTGCAAATGTTACCATTATTGGTCTGGGAGCTGGTGACACTGACGTGTCCCTAGGGGAAAGTTCTTCCCTCACAGAAGCCACTAAACCACTCTGCCAAGGGACCTTCCTGTCTGGTTTAGCTGGCCTTTGTTGAGTGCTTGCTAGGCACATCGCCAAGGACTGGGTCAGTTACTGTGAATTAAATGCATTGACATGTCCAGGTGGGCTCAGAGGCCCACCTCGCTGAGGCAGGTGGGGAGTCAGCCCATTTCACAATGGACAGAGTTGAGCCCCAGTGGTGGGAGCCCTGCTGGGCTCAGATGGCCAGGACGTGGTGGGGTTGGGATTTGAACCCAGAGCCTGGCATCTTCATCTACCCCAGCCCCAGGCTTATATTCTGAGTGTGTTAAAAATGCATTAATGCTGTCCCTTTCCATCCCCACCCGCTACTATTATTTTGCAACAGTTTTTTACCCAGCATTCTCTTTGTACCTTCTTAATTCAGGTCCGTATAAGTGGATCTTGTCCACCTCCCCACTTTTCCTCATGGCTTCAGAGGCCAACCCCTTGCCCTGCCCAGCCAGGGGCTCTGAGTTCTGGGGTTCCCCAAGGGTGACCCTGAGAGAGCTGGCGGTTGACATGTGTCAAATGCTGTGAATAAAGAGGGCATTTTCCTCCTGGACTTCCTGTTCTGGGGGCCTGAGATGCTCTGGGGGCCTCAGTGATAGGGACGGAGATGGTGACAGTGGTGGGACAGGGGAGACAGACACAGATACCCCTGTTGGCAGAGTCAGCATTCTGGGTCTGGCCCCAGGACATGAATCGCATCAGCTGCAGAAGCTTCCAGCCCCAAGTGCCTGAGTACCTTCTTCCACCGCCACCCCAGCAGGCCCCGGTAGGGAGTGACCGGAACCCTTACTCCTGGAAAGCCCTGTGTGCAAGAGCCAAAAGCGAGTACCCATCTGCTTCCTGTTTGGCAATCTGTACATCTGTGATTAATTGCTCCTGCCTGCCTGAGGCAGGGGCTGAGCTGGGGCATAAGTGTAGAGGCTGCAGGTTGATTGGAAATGTCTGGCTCGGACACCAAGAAGAGTGTTTGGTGTGAATTCACACAAATCTGGGTGCAGAGTATCTTCCAGCTCTCAGCACAGCTCTCGCCTGAGAGCTTATGGCTCCTCACCCACCTTGCACACTCAGAGTCCCCCCCATCTCCATCTCTTTCTCTGTCCCTCTCTTTCTCCAGCTGAATGCCTACCTCATCCAGCAGTATCTCTGTTCCTCCCCAACCCCTCCCCACCCAGACCCAGGAACTCTATAGTCTTGTCCCTTCTGCCCGGAACTGAGGGGCTGTCTCCCTCTGTCCACGCAGGCTGCACACATGGCGCCTCCGAGCGAGGAGACGCCCCTGATCTCTCAGCGATCTTGCAGCCTCTCGTCTTCAGAGACTGGTGCCTTGCATGTGCTGCTGCCCCCTCGGGGCCCTGGGCCCCCTCAGCGCCTCTCCTTCTCCTTTGGGGACCACTCAGCTGAAGAACTGTGTGTTCAGGCTGCTAAGGCCAGTGGTGAGTGGGTCTTTAAAATGCTGGGTCAGAAGGAAGGGTAGGGGTGGGGGGCCCAGATCAGGAGCTAGAATAGCTGCCAACCCATGACAGCCTTGGAGCTGGGGCTTTGAGGGATGAGTTGGAGTTTGGTAAGGGAGGAGGGTGCAGAGGGGATGGCATGTGCCAAGACCCAGAGGTGTGACAGCACAGGAGGGAAAACAGCTGATCATCCCTCCAGGTAGAGTGTACAGTGGAAAGTGTGCCCTGGGGAGAGGGGTAGGGAGCCCTGAGAAGATGGTGAGCAGGGGTGGGACACAGTGTCAGAGCCGAAGGTGACAGGAGCCCTGTGGGACTGTGTGGGGGCTGCGGAGGACAGATGGGGAGAGCAGGAAGGAGCTGATGGGGGCATCTCCTCAGGCATCCTGCCCGTGTACCACTCCCTCTTTGCTCTGGCCGTGGAAGACCTGTCCTGCTGGTTTCCCCCAAGCCACATCTTCTCCGTGGAGGATGTGGGCACCCAGGTCCTTGTCTACAGGCTCCGGTAGGAAGCACTCCCCCCCGACCCCCTGCAGGTGTGGGTTAGAGGATACCAGAATGGGATGTCTTTTGCTGAGGGCTTAGGAAATGAGAATTTAAAACAGACCCTACAATATATTATCTCCCTGTATCTCCCAGTGGGTGCCCCGGAGAGGGTGTGAGTACTGCCCATTTCACAGATAAGGAAACTGGGGCCAGAAAGGGTAGATGGCTTGCCCGGTCACACAGCAATACATTGGCACACCCTGGGTTCTGTGAGGTCATGGCATAGTCCTCTACCCCCCACCCGCATACCCTCCACTCCAAGGTTCTGCCCTCCCCTACACAGCTTTTACTTCCCTGACTGGTTTGGGCTAGAGAAGTGTCACCGATTCGGGCTTCGAAAGGACTTGGCCAGTGCCATCCTTGACCTGCCAGTCCTGGAACACCTATTCGCCCAGGTAGGGGTCCGTGTAGGGCTCGGCCAGGGCCAGGGGCCTGCAGAGCAACCTCAGGGGTGGCCTTGGCTGACCCTCCCTGTGGCAACTCAGGGGCGGGGGTCAGCCCAGGGGTGGGGGTCCGTAGGGCGACTTCAGAGCTCACCGTTAGGCTATGACTGGCCCCTAGCACCGCCACGACCTGGTGAGCGGCCGCCTCTCCGTGGGCCTCAGCCTCAAGGAGCAGGGCGAATGTCTGAGCCTGGCTGTGCTGGACCTGGCCCGGATGGCCTGTGAGCAGGCCCAGCGGCCAGAGGAGCTGCTGAAGACCATCAGGTGAGGGCCTCCAGGCTGTTGTGCCCAGCTGCTACCTGGGAATGAGCAAACATGGCTCCACCAGGGCGTCTCAGAGCCTAGGAACCTCATAGGGCTCCCCACTTACAAGCCCTCATTGTGTCCATGTGACCCAGGCCTCTCAACCCACTGCGGCTCCAGGGCCCGGCTTTCTGCCCTTAAATGGCCTATCTGTGTCTCTGTCTGCCCTGTGGGCCCCAATGGCCTTCCCCACACTGAGACCCTGACCCCATGCATGTCCCTGAGTGGGTCTCCACGTGCACTTCACGCTCAGAGAGGCCACATTACAGCCCCTGAACTACAGTCTGGGTTGAGGTGTGTCCCTTGACAGGCCAGTGGGGTGACTCCTTCCCACACTGAGAGTCGACTCCCACCACTCGCAGCTACAAGACCTGCCTGCCTCCCAGTCTGCGCGACCTGATCCAGGGCCTGAGCTTTGTTACACGGAGGCGCATCCGGAGGAGGGTGCGCCAGGCCCTGTGCCGCGTGGCGACCTGTCAGGTTGACAGGCACTCACTCATGGTCAAGTACATCATGGACCTGGAGCGACTGGACCCGACCAGGGCTACCGAGACCTTCCTCGTGGGCCTCCCCGGGGCTGCTGGTGGTCAGGACGCATCGGGGTTGCTCCGCGTGTCTGGTGGTAGCGGCATTACCTGGAGTCCAGGACCACAGGAGGTGCAAGCAGACGCTGGGTGGGGCCAGCGGTGGAGGCGGGGCCAAGAAGGGAGGGGCAGGAAAGTGGGCAGGACTCTTGGGGGTGGGGCCGAAGGAGGGGGACTGTGGGAGGTGGGGCTGAGCGAGTAGGCGGGAAGGCAAGTGGGCGGGGATGAGAAGGAGGGGACTGGTTGGCCAGGCGGAGCTCGGGGCAGGGCTAACTGACGGTACAGGGAGGAGGCAGGATTTAGAGAGGAGGCGGGGTTTCTGACTGGACTAAGTAGCGGGAAGATAAAGTGGAGCTAAGTGAGGGAGGGGCTCAGGGAGGATACCCGTTTATAGGAGAAGGGTTTTGGCAGGGGTGGGGTGGGAAAAATTGAGGGATGGGCAGGGGAGGGATTGAGAGCGGTGGGGCTTGGCAGGGGAGAAGTGGGAAAGGAATGGGCGGAGCTCATGGTCTTGGGTTGGTGGGGTCCAGGCTTCTAAGGGGGTTTGGGGGGCTCCGAGGAAGCCGCACCTTACCCTCTGTCCTCCTCCTTCCTCCCAGGTCTTCCAGCCTTTCTGCGACTTTCCAGAAATCGTGGACATCAGCATCAAGCAGGCCCCGCGCGTTGGCCCGGCTGGGGAACACCGCCTGGTCACCGTCACCAGGACAGACAACCAGATCCTGGTGGGTGTTGGACCCCTTCTCTCCCGGCCTCCCCGAGAGCAGGGACGGCAACGGGAGCTAACGCGGCCACTTGCAGGAGGCTGAGTTCCCGGGGCTGCCAGCCGCGTTGTCTTTCGTGGCGCTTGTCGACGGCTACTTCCGGCTGACCACCGACTCTCGGCACTACTTCTGCAAGGAGGTGGCGCCTCCGCGGCTCCTTGAGGAGGTGGCGCAGCAGTGCCACGGCCCCATCACGTAAAGACCGGACCCCCAGCCTGCCCTCAGGAGCCAGACAGACCCACCTGGGCCCAAATCCTGGTCACTCCCTTTCTTGGTGCCTCAGTGTGCTCGTCGTCCAGGAGCCCGGGACAAGGGGTCAAGGGCTCGAACAGCGGCTGGTGTATAGTCAAGGCTCAAAGAGTTTGGGGTCTCCCTTCTGATGCCCAGGGCAGCTTCTTTCCTCCCTGTGACTCCTGGGGTTCCAGGTCCATTTCTTCTTGTTTAATCTCCTAGGCAGAAACCCATCTTTTAGCCCCCTTTTTTTTTATATACATATGCGGAGGGAGGGAATGTTATCAGGTGAGGGTGCTAGGCTCCAAAGACCAGAATTAGAACCCAGGCTTGGCTTGATTTCCCTGCCTCCATCTCTCTATCTTGAAATCTCTGTTCTCTCCTGCCTTTCCCCAAGCCTGGATTTTGCCATCAACAAACTCAAGACTGAGGGCTCCCTTCCTGGCTCCTATGTTCTCCGTCGCAGCCCCCAGGATTTCAACAGCTTCCTCCTCACTGTTTGTGTCCAGGTTAGTCCACCACTAGGAGCCGGGAGGGCTTCTTCCTAGAGGAGGTGAGATTTGAGTTGAGACCTGAACAACGTGTGAGCATTTGCTTCTTGAAGAAGGGAATGGAGAAGACATCCCCAGTGGAGGGAAACAGCGAATGCAAAGGAGATCAAAATGGGCCCATGGTGCTCAAGGAAGAGGGAGCGAGGGGGAGGGAGGGCGCTGCCTACTCCCACTCAGGGACCACTCCTCCTTGCAGACCCCCCTGGGCCCCGATTACAAGGGCTGCCTCATCCGGTGCGACCCCACAGGAACCTTTTCCTTGGCTGGCCTTGGCCGACCCCACAGCAGTCTTCGAGAGCTACTGGCAGCCTGCTGGGAGGGCGGGCTGCATGTAGATGGGGTTGCACTGAACCTCACCTTCTGTTGCACCCCTAGACCCAAAGGTGAGCCCACCCTCTCCCCTGAGCTGAGCAGTTGATCTGGGGCCCTGCCATTTCGTTTGTCACACCGCTTGTGTGGCAAGAGGCAGAAAATGCAAGTCAAAGTTTTTAGGGAAGAAACGTTGACTCGTTGGTTTGTGGGATATAGTACTGCCTTCAGGCACAGCTGAATCCGGAATTTGAATCTGGGGTGTCACGTGCACTTAGTCTCCCTTTGTCTTTTGCCTTTTCCTCTGGATGAATTTCACTCTTGGACAAACCCCTGGGATGGGACAACTCCGAGGTGTGAGTTGGCGTGAGATGCAAGTCTCTCGGAATCCCTAGCAGCACTAAGACCTGCTTGCCCACGCTGCTGGCTGCTCATCGGGGTCCCCTGCAGGGTTCCTTCCCCCTCTGTCTCACTCCCCTACCCTGGGGCTACCTGGAGTCTCCTTTCCAGTAAACCACATGCCCTGGAATCCTCATCTCAGGGTTGGCTTCCAGGGGAACCTCCGAACTGAGAGAGTGAGTGAGCAAACCTTTGAGGACCTTTCACCTCTGACCTCTGGTTTTCTCTCTCCAACCCCTTGTCATAGAAAAGTCCAATCTGATTGTAGTCCGGAGAGGCTGCAGTCCACCCACATCATCCCCTGTTCAGCCCCACGCGGGATGCCAGCTGAGTCAGATGACCTTCCACAAGATCCCTGTTGACAGCCTGGAGTGGGTAAGGGGCCTCAGTGAATGGGGGCGGGGGGACCTCAGTTGGAGTCCAGAGACATGGTCTACACCCACCTCTGCTGTGTGGCCTCAGGCATGTGAAGTAACCTCTGTGCTTCTGTTGCGTCATCTGTAAAATGGGGCCAGTGCCTGTGCCTTGCTCAGGCTGGCGGGCGGGAGGGGGTCAGAATCCCACGGGAGCCCCCTTACTGGCTTCTCCTGTTGTCCCCTCGCCCTCCAGCATGAGAACCTGGGTCATGGATCCTTCACCAAGATTTACCGGGGCTGTCGCCATGAGCCTGTGGACGGGGAGCCTCGGAAGACAGAGGTGCTGCTCAAAGTGTTGGACGCAAAACACAAGAACTGCACGGAGGTGAGCAGGTGGGGACCAGCCCTTTGCGGTCAGGGCTGGCGGCAGAGAGCATCATGGAGTCAGAGACATTTAAAAATACAGAAATGTAGCCACAGCATCTCCAAATGATGAAATGCAGAAGGGGTAGGGAACACAGATGCATGTGGAAAGAGTACATCAGATTGTAGGAACAGCCAGTGCAAGGGTCCTGAGGCAGGACTGAGCATGGCACACTTAAGGAACAGTGAGGAGGCCAGTGGGCCAGAGATGAATGAACAAAGGGGAGCGGGGGGTGTTGTTGATGGAGGCCACAGAGGGGCTGGGCCATACAGGGGAAGGATTGGGCCTTTCTCAACCCCCAAATCTCCCACTTATCTGTGAAAGACTCAAGGCAGACTACAGTGGGCACTTCCAGCCACCATCAGAAAATTATGATACAGAGTGTTGCAAGTACTCATGGTGGGCCCCAGGGTCAGAGGAGGTTGGGGCCAGGCCTCCTCCTGAGGCAGGTTTATGAGAAGCAAGTTTGGGGTCTCTGATTGGGCCCTGGAGTAGGAGGGACCCATGCATCTTTTCTCCCTCCTGGCCTCCCCAGTCATTCCTGGAAGCGGCGAGCTTGATGAGCCAAGTGTCATACCAGCATCTCGTGTTGCTTCATGGCGTGTGCATGGCCGGAGACAGTGAGAGACCCCCGTGCTCCACCCCGCTCTGCCTCACTGAGTCTATCCACGGCGGCATTAGACATACACATACAGGGGCCACCAACCTATACACATGCCCCTCAATCATCACTCCTTGGGCAGCAGCTCCGGCTCCTGCCAATACCCAGCATCCAGAGCCATCTCAAGCTAGAGCTGGGTTCCAATGCCACTTCACTATGTACCCCCTCTGCAACTTTGTAAGGGGCACGTTGCCTCTCAAGCCTCCATTCCATCCATTTAGTTCATCCCAGTATGTGTCAGGAGTGGGGGCCCAGCAGAGAGTGTGACAGGCCGGCAGGGTGATTGATATATGATCGTGTGTGGTGGGGACAGTGCAGGGCACCAGGAGTGGTCAGAGGCTACTGATAGCTTAGAGGTTAGGCAATGGTTCTGGGAAGATGAGAATAAGTGGGGATTAGGGAAGAAAAGGAAGAGGAGTATTCTAAGCAGAAGATATGAGATACACAAAGAGCTGGAAGTAAGATACAAGAGAGCTCAGAAACTTCCAGGCATTTCAGGCAGACAGTTCTGAGATGGGAGGTACGGAGGTAGAGGGGTGAGTAGTGTAGGGATAGAGGAGTAGGAAAAGGAACAGTCAGAGCAGAGAGTGACTCATGAGGGTGGAGTGGGGGCAGATCCTATTGCACACAATGCCGTCATGTCTCCCAACCCTGCCCCTCCCTGTGCCACCGCCAGGCATCATGGTGCAGGAATTTGTACACCTGGGAGCATTGGACACATATCTACGTAAGTGTGGCCATCTGGTGCCAGCCAGCTGGAAGCTGCAGGTAATCAAACAGCTGGCCTACGCCCTCAACTATCTGGTGAGTGCTCCCCTGTCTGCTTCATCCTCCATTCAGAGAGAGGAGGGGGCCCTGAGGGTGGACTCTGTAGTATGGATAGCAGTTTTGGCAAGGATGCAAGAGGAGGGCGTTTCAGACTGAGGGAACAGCATAGGTACAGGATCAGAGATGGGAGAGGAATAGAAGGGAGCAGCTGGTTTTCTGTGGATATCGGTGAGTAGTGAGCAATGAGACTGGTTGGGGGGAAGGCTTCCCAAAGAGCTGGGGCCTTGAAGGCTGAGTAGGAGTCCATCACGAGGAAAAAGGAAGCAGGGCGTGTCAGGCTGAGAGAACAGCCTAGGCAAAGGCCTACAGCTGAGAGGGTATATTCTATGTCCAGGGTGCATCAGGCAGTTCAGTTGGCAGGAGACCAGGGTGGGGACATAGAAGAAAGCTCATGAGAAGAATGAACAAGGGCTGGATTTAAAAAGGCTTTGAATGCCAGGCTGAGGACTTTTGACTTTATCTTGAAAGCAACAGGGAGCCATAGAGTGGGAGAACAGTACTTCAGAAGGGGAGAGACATAGTCAGGTCATAGGGAGTGGACTAGAAGAGGCCAGAGAGGCTGCCAGTAATCTGGGAAAGATTCTGGACTATGATCTGAGCAGTACCAGGTGGGCTTTGAAGGATGTGTAGCAGCCAGCATTTTCACTCATCAAACCCTCCCTGGCGTTTCCTTATTCCTGGCCCACCTAGGAGGACAAAGGCCTCATCCATGGCAATGTCTCGGCCCGTAAGGTGCTCTTGGCTCGGGAGGGGTCTGATGGGAGCCTGCCCTTCATCAAGCTGAGTGATCCTGGTGTCAGTCCCACTGTGCTAAGCCTCGAGAGTGAGTGTGGAGAGCTGGAGGATGGAGGGGCCTTGTGGGGCAAGGAAGTGATCCCTGATGCCATATTTTTGCCCTGTCCCCCCCCCAGTGCTCACTGACAGGATCCCCTGGGTGGCCCCTGAATGTCTCCAGGAGGCCCGGACACTTGGCTTGGAAGCTGACAAGTGGGGCTTTGGTGCCACAGTCTGGGAGGTGTTCAGCGGTGTCACAATGCCAATCAGTACCATGGACCCTGCCAAGGTCAGAATCCCGCTTTGACAGAGGGGTAGCCTAGAGTTCAACTTGAGGAGCACAGGTGGGTCTGGGAAGGCCTCTGAGGATGCACCAGGGGTGACCAGCTCCTCCTCCCACCCTCAGAAGCTCCAGTTTTATGAGGAACGGCAGCAGCTGCCTGCCCCCAAGTGGATGGAGCTGGCCCTACTGATCCAACAGTGCATGACCTACGAGCCAGGCCACAGGCCCTCCTTTCGTGCTGTCATCCGTGATCTGAACAACCTCATTACGTCAGGTACTCCCTGGGCCAGGCAGGGTGGGCAGGACCTGCGTGTGGTATTGGGCCCAGTGGGAGCAGAGCCCAACCTGTGTGCCTGACACAACTGGAGTGTAGGCGACTGTAACAGTCAGCATGGCCTTGACAGCTGCTGTAACATGAAGGCCCCTAAGCTCAGGATTGAACATGATGGGTGTTTAGTTCTCAGTCAATGAAGGTGTACAGGTCAACAGGCACCTCCCTCTTTGTGGTTCCACCCATTCCATGGCCTCAGGTCTCTGTTGGATCCTCTGTAGACAAGAGGAGTGTGGAGGGTCCCATGCTACGTTTCCATGGGCCAGGTCTGAAGGGGTACTCAGCATGTCTCCTCCATCAGCCTGAGCTCCATCATGTGACCACAGCTCACAGCAGTGGAGTCTGGGAAGACCCTTTGGTCTCCATAGCAATGTGTAGCTACACAGGGTGTGCACTGCCTAAGGGAGGTGCCTTGGTCCAGATGGTACCTTTCTCAGCCCTGCGAAGTACCTGTGGGCTCCCAGTGGCCCTGCCGTAATGCACAGAGAGGGACAGCGCGCAGACTGAGATCATGTGGCACATCAGCTTCAGGCCCAGTGCACTGCACACTCACTGCCTGTGGTCCCCAGATTACGAACTCCTCTCAGACCCCACACCTGGTGCTCTGGCGCCCCGTGATGGGCTGTGGAATGGCGCCCAGTTCTATGCCAGCCAGGACCCCACCATCTTTGAGGAGAGACACCTCAAGTACATTTCACAGCTGGGCAAGGTGAGGAGAGCTGGGCTAGGTTGGGAAGGGTGGCACCCAGGCACATGGACACCAGCCCCTCTGTCCCTCAGGGCAACTTTGGCAGCGTGGAACTGTGCCGCTATGACCCACTGGGAGACAACACAGGAGCCCTGGTGGCTGTGAAGCAGCTGCAGCACAGCGGGCCAGACCAGCAGAGGGACTTCCAGCGGGAGATCCAGATCCTCAAAGCCCTGCACAGCGACTTTATTGTCAAGTATCGTGGTGTCAGCTATGGCCCAGGTGCACCCCCTCCCAGATGGGTACTCTTCAAACCCCACATTGCCATCCTCCCACAGAACCACGTCGGGGCGGTCACAGAACAGCAGTAGGAGCTATGGTCCCTCTTCTTTATCCAGGTCTAGCCATTCGAATTCCAGCTCTATCCATTACGACTGGGATGACCTTGGGCAGGTGGTTTCTTTCTGAGTTTCAATTTACCCACCTGAAAAATGGGTCATTATATGGTATCAGTGAATCAATGCATATAGTCTAAAGTACTCAAGAGACATCAGCGATGTGTTGTTGCCTTCCCATGTTATAGAAAGCAATGCTGAGTCCAGGAGAAACCCAAGGTCCCACTCTGAATAGGAGGAAGAATGAGGAGGGGTGTAGACGGAGTTGGGCCCCGTGGTGACTCCTTCATCCTCCCCTGCCTCCTAGGCCGCCAGAGCCTGAGGCTGGTCATGGAATACCTACCCAGTGGCTGCCTGCGGGACTTCCTGCAGCGGCACCGCGCACGCCTGGATGCCAGCCGCCTGCTCCTCTATGCCTCGCAGATCTGCAAGGTGCGGGGCGGAAGCTCCGGGACCTGCGGAGCCCGGCTGGCTAGCCTTGGGTGGGACCCTGCGTGGAGTCTAGGGAAAGCTGAAGGTTGATGTTTGGGGGTCCAGGTCAGGTTGCAAATGGGGTTGAATTAGGGCTAAGGTCAGGACTGGAGTGCAGGATGGGGCAAGGGTGGGCTTAGGCTTGGGGGTCTGGATTGGGATTGCGGTTGGATTCCAGGTCAGGCTCAGGGCCCCTTGCCGAGTCATCCTGGGGTCGGTACCCCGTGTCCGCCCACAGGGCATGGAGTACCTGGGCTCCCGCCGCTGTGTGCACCGCGACCTGGCAGCGCGTAACATCCTGGTGGAGAGCGAGACGCACGTCAAGATCGCTGACTTTGGCCTCGCGAAGCTGCTGCCACTGGATAAAGATTATTACGTTGTCCGCGAGCCGGGCCAAAGCCCCATCTTCTGGTGGGGACCCGGCCCCGGCCCTCCTCCTACTGTACTGACCCCCGTTCCTTCCGACGCCAAGATCCGCCCCACGGCACTGGCCCCGCCCACAGCTGCAGCTGGCCCCCGAACCCGGCCCTGGCCCCCGCTTCTTCTCTCCAGTGCCCTGGCCCCTTCCCCTGCTCCGAACAGTTTGGACTCCGCCCCTCCTCCTTAATTTCCTGGTTCTGCCCTAGCCCGGCCCCACCCACGGCCCTAGCCCCACGCAGGCCACGCCCTTCCCAGTATATTGGCTGCACCCCTCCCCCTTGGCACTGGCACTTCCTCTCCCCACAGCTCCAGCCACAGAGTGGACCCCCCATCCCATCCAAGTCCCGCCGGGGTTGCCCCCAGGATCACTCTCAACCCACAATCAGGGAAACTGAGACCCCGGAGCTGGAGTCTGACGTTCTCATAGCCCCACCTGCCCTGGGAAGCTCCCCTAGCCCAAGGCTGCTCCTTTCCTGTGCTCTGCCAGGCGCTCACACCCCAAGGACTCCCTGTCCCCTCCAGGTACGCCCCGGAGTCCCTCTCAGACAACATCTTCTCGCGCCAGTCGGACGTCTGGAGCTTTGGGGTCGTTCTGTATGAGCTATTCACCTACAGTGACAAGAGCTGCAGCCCTTCCACTGTGAGTCAGCGCCCTGGGTCCCTCACACCCTCCTCCCCGCACCCCTTTGCTGGGGCTGACCTCCTTCCCACAGGCAGCCCCTCCATCACAGAGGGCCCTCCCCTCCCCGCACCATGGAGGAGCCCCTTCACTATGGCTTACCCTCCTAATCACTGGCTGGTCCCTTCCCCACTGTCATGGAATGCTCCCTCTTCACCATGGCTGCTCCCCCTTGGCCCCAGGAGTTCCTGCGGATGATGGGATGCGAGCGAGATGTGCCGGCTCTCTGCCGCCTCCTGGACCTTCTGGCAGAGGGCCAGAGGCTGCCTGCACCTCCAGCCTGCCCTAGTGAGGTGAGCCCTTGTTGGGACTGACTCAGTTTCCCACACTGAGGTCTTGGGCAAGCCAGCTGGCCCCTCTGAGTCTCTTCACCATGTTGTCTCTCGCTTGAGAGCTCCTGCTGCGGCGAGAGGCTGAACATTTTCAGAGCCGAAGCTTACCCGTATCCAAAACGGAAATCACATGCCTTAGAGGGTAGGAGAAGATCAGAGGAGTTCACCCCGTCCCGTGCTCGGCTCAGAGCTCAGCACACAGTCAGCACTCAGTAAAATGGCAGGGACCCTTATGATTTATCAACACAACTTTTGTGTAAGTTTCTGCCATGCAGTTGGTCATTCATAAATAAATTTGCTCGGGCTACAAACATTTGTGGAGCGCCGACTGTGTGCTGGTGTTGGGGGCCCAGTAGGGCCTTCCCAGTAACCAGCAGAACCTAAGAAGAACATTCTGGTGGGAAAGAGATGAACAGAGGGAAGTGATGGGGGAGGGGTGGTCAGGGAGGGCCTCTTAGAGGGGGTGACACCTGGAGGAGGAGCCCACCCACGAGGAGAGTTGGCAAGAGGGCTTTCTCAGAACAACTGTAAAGGCTCTGAGCTAGGAATGAGGTTGGTGCATTTAAATAATGATATAGTTGCGTGGAACGAGGGAGGAAGTAATGGACGGAATGGGGCAGAGGAGAGGGTGAGATTTTGTTCTAAGACCCATAGGGAGCCACGGGAGGCTTTGGAGGAGGAGAGGGATGGAGTCTATTTTAAAACGGTGAACAAGAGTCATGTCCTTCCTACCACTGCCTTGTGACTCTGTCGTCCATCTCCTCCCACACCCTTAGGTTCATGAGCTCATGAAGCTGTGCTGGGCTCCCAGCCCACAAGACCGGCCATCCTTCAGCACCCTGGGCCCCCAGCTGGATGCACTGTGGAGTGGGAGCCGGGGGTAGCATCCAGAGGCATGAGATGCACACCTTCCCTGCTTGTCTGGAGGAAGAACCCCACTCACTGTTATATTTACATCTTCTGCACACAGACCTCTTGATTCTGGTCTCCATGGGCTGCCTGTGTGAGTTTGGGCAGGGAGCTGCTCCTCTCTAGGCCTCCTGGTTCACGGAGACCCCCATGAGTCAAATGACATTGCGTTTGGGGGACGTCCCTGGCTTGCGGAGCAACAGCAGCTTTGTTGCCTTTGGAGCTTGTAAAGATTCAAGATAGATGCCTTGATCGGGGCCCACTGAGCCCTGCCCATGGAAGCAGGGGACCGCATTTAAGCCCCTCTCATTTTCCCAGCCTCTCAGGATGCCTGCCTGTCTCATTTCCAGTAGGGACACTATGTAGCTTTAAATATTTCATCTCAGGCTTCCTTTCTTCCATCCTGCTCTCACTGGAGGAAGCCGAGGACAAGAGCACCTGCTTTGATTGGAAATTCACTTTTTGGGGGAGCAAGTGTGACTGGTGCTGTGTCAGGGACGAGGAGAGTCTAAGGTCCCAGTCCACCCTAACTGTACCCTAGGGCTTGTTTCCCCACCTGTACACCGGGACCCTTTCTGTCTTGACCAGAGGTTTACACATTGATGACCCTGGAGCCTGACAGGAGCTTTTTAGCCATTGAGGGATGGAAAGGCAATCTTGGCAGAGGGAACAGCATGGCGAGAATGAGGAGGCTCAGAGTACAGAATTGTCTGGAGCCCGTGGTTCTGCCACTTATTTGCTGTGTGACAGTGGGCAAGTTGCTTCCCCTCTCTGGGTTCCAGTTCCGTAGTGCTGGCCCCTCAGCTGTTCAGAGTCAACTTCTGGAGGCTCATGCAGGTTAAACCATGCCACACTTTCTCACCTGCCCATGAGGATTTTCCGCCACTTAGCCTCCCTGGAAAGTTCTTATTCATTTCTCAAAACCTTAGCTGTCACCTCCCTGAAGCTTTCCTTGGTGTGCCCCCGCCACTCCCTGCAAGCCCTGTACTTCCTCTGACCCCAGGGCTGGGGTGGTGACTGAATCCAGCTCTGTCTCCTCCTCTGACCTGGAGGCTCCGTGGGGGCTGGGCTTGGGACTCTGGGGTGTTTGTTGAATGAATAAAGGAATTCAGTATAAGGGATGGTCTGTTGCTGGACTTGGGTGTCAGGAAACCTTGGGGAAGGGTCCCAGCTGGGAAGGAATGTGGCTGGGGCCTCACGACAGGAGCGACAGCAGGGTGGGGTAACAGCTCCTGAGGACAGAAGACCTCCTCCCAGTTTCAGCTGCTGGCCTCGGCTCTGTCCTGGGGAACTGATTACAGGCTTTTAGTGGGTGGAGGGAACAGGCTGTTCTGTGGGGTCGGGGGCAAGGCCCACTGTGGGAGGGCTAGGCCATGGGAGGGGCCAAGTAGCTCCCTGGTGCTCCTCAGGACTGCGGGAAACAGGGAGAGTGACAGAGAGTTAGAAAAGATAGAGGCCAGAGAGGAAGGGAGAGGGAGTGAGAGAGCAGGGGAGAGAGACAAAGGCAGAGATCTCTCAGCTCAGGAAAGGCCACCCACTTTGGTGAAAAGCGCAGTGGGGGTGGGGGCGGGGGGGGGGCGGTGTTGCAGGGATGTCCCAAGCTTAAGCGAGACCCAGTTCCCGGCTCAGGCTGTCTCTGCCTTAGTCTCCTTTCTTGGTAACACAAGGTCACAAGGCTTCCCGGGCACCAGGCGGCACCCAGTAGGTGCCGAGCAAATGCAGCCGCCTTTATTCTCTGCCCAGCCCGAGGAGACTCTGATGTGGGAGAGGCAGAGCTGGCCAGCACCCACAGCCCCAGGGCCCTGCCCCTGCAACCTTGGGCGAGTGCGGGGTCCCCTCTATGAGCCTCAGTTTCCTTGCAAGGTTCTGGATGTCCCTGGTCTCCTTTACCTGAAGGCCCGCCCCCAACCACTACCACCTCATGAAATTATTATTTCTCAGTTTATCTATTTCAGTTCTTTTAAATGCTTAATAATAATAATAAAGACTCCTCAGCCAGAAGTCCATCTGGGGAAGATATACCCAAGGCCATGGTGGGGAGAGAGAGAGACCCTCACTGTTTTGTGCCTCTCTCAACCTATCAGCAGCCAATGCTGCAGCTGGGCCAGCTCCTGAGTTTCTTATTATGATTACAAGACAACATCAGTAACCATGATGACGTCTCTTTGAAAAAAATAAAGGTTTATTACTTATGGAACCTGGGAATAACACAACACCCTTGGACCACCGAGTGACTGGTTCGGGAAAAGAAGCCCAAGGTTCTGCTTTTATTGGCACAGAGGAGGGCGGGGAGGGGGCTAGGGTTTTGCTGACTCAGCCTTTATTGTGAATTCAAAACATGAGAGTGGTAATTTAAAGCATGAAAGAGAAAAAGCAAGTGGCCCAAATGGTCAGGTATCAAAATCAACCAAGACCTCTAAACAGAGGAGCCTTGGGGGAAGGTGGCCTGGTACTTCATCTAGTTGCTGGGCAGGCATGTGGTTTTTGGAGACTGCCATCATTGAAATGGTTGTCTCCATAACCAAAGCTTAAGTCAGGCACTAGCATTACCGAAAAAAAAAAAAAAAAAGGAAAGAAAAGAGAACACAGTGTCAAGGCTTACACTGAATTTGCCCTGACCCTGCCCTTGACCCTCTCTCCCTGGGCCCTCTTGCATGCTTTCTCCTTTCTCCAAGGTCCCCAGCTGGGGCCACCTAGGCGTCTATAAAGGGGTTGCACGCTGGGTTCTTCTGCCTCCCTCCACCATGGACCCCCGTCTGCTCCCCTGGGCGCTGGTGCTCCTGGGCCCGGCCCTGATACTGGCACTGGGCCACGTGCCTGCCCCGGAGACACCAGAGAAGCTGTGTGGCCACCAGTTCGTTCGGACGCTGGTGCGAGTGTGCGGGGGCCCACGCTGGTCCCCTGAAGCTGGGAGGCTGGTGGCTGGCAGCGGCCGTGAGTAGGGCAGGCGGGGGCTGTGTTTCCTGGTCTCTAAGTGGGGCAGGTGCACCGGGTGCAGGTGGGCGTCGAGACCACGGGAGGGCGGGTATTCACGCCCTGACCAGGGTGTACCTGCCGGCTGCCTGGCATGTGCAAGTCGGTAGAGGACGCTTTCTCCGCGAGGCGGGAACCTGTGGGAAGCCTAGGGGAAACTGGCAGAGCCTCGCAAGTGCAGTCAGATCTGTCTCTACCATTTCCATGTTTTGATCTTCATGCTTTTTTCCACTAATTTTGAGTTTTTAAAATATTACATCATTGCATTTTGGCGCTCCCTTAAATTGTGCTCCAGGAGGCCAGTGCCCACTCTCCTCACCCTAGCCCCAGCCCTGGTTCAGAGGGCATAACACAGGTTTGTGTGCATGTGTGTGCCACACGTGTGTCCTGTGTTCATGTGTCTGTGTGACAGGGATGCAGAGGCACACATGGCAGGCTGGGGGACTCTGAGGGGGGCTGAGGGCATGTACCTGTGTATGTTCATCCAGGGGTATGCATATGTCCGTGTGTAGCCACTGACTGCACACTTGGGAACATGAATGTGTCACATGTCACCTCTGCTGTCTTCTCCATTAAATGTCTGTGTGTCCATGTGACAGGTGACACAGGGACGCGTGCACTGCTGGGGACTTGAGTGTGAGTGTGGGTCAAGAGCTCATCCACCTGGGTGGATGGTGAAATCCGTGTCCAGTGTACAGTAGGCACTTAATGACTGCCTACTGTTTGTGTGTGTTTGCTGGGGCGCTCAGTGGAGTGTGAGCCTGCAGGGGCACGCACACAGAATGAGGGTGTCTACTCTGTCACCAGGACGGCTGCCGCAATGGTTGGAAGGACGACATCTCCATGGACTGGTGGCCAATGGGGACCCGATGCTGTTACTCGACCCACAGCTCCTGCCCCAGGCCTCTCACCATCACCATGACCGCCGGGCAGCTGCCACCAACCCTGCCCACCACTGTTGCCTCAGTGGCTGTACCTGGCAAGACTTGCTGGCCCTCTGTCCCCACTGAGCCCTCTGGGGCGTGGCCTCTGGGGAGCCAGAGACCCAGAAGGTATGGTCTGGTGGACTCCTGAAGCCACAAAGCACCATAAAGTCCTGTATCTGGGGGGATATTGTTGATTACCTCCTAGGACAGAGACCTCACCACCTATCCCAGGTCATCTGTCCTCTGTAGGGTCAACTTGGGGAAAAACACATACCCCCACCCTGGCTTAGAAGATCCTTGGTTTCACAGAGATGCCAGACACTGAGGGCCAAATGTCCTCACCTCTGAGGAGCCCCAGGTACCCACGCCCTCTGCATTTGTGGCTCCCCATCTTGCTGTCTCCCAATAGTAAATAAACAAAACTCCTGCAGAATTCAAAGCAGCTTTTTGCACTTTCTCAATAAAAAGGGACAAGTCTGGGTCAGCCTTCGTGTTGACTTGGCTCCTGGCAGCCATGGACCACCAACACTTCTAGGAGCTTGATAACAATTTGAGAGTCATCGCAATACAAAGTGAGGACACTAAGGCCCAGGGAGATGGCTGCCTGCCAAGGTCAGATAGGGAGGGAATGGCCAAGCGCAGGATTAAAATCCAAGTATCTCTTAAGAGTCCTGGGTGGGCCTTACTATCATTTAATACCCGCTTGATGGCGTGCACACACACAAATGTGTGAATGAGTCACAGTGGATATTTATTGATCCAACTCTGACCATTCTTCTCACTTGCATCTTCCCTTCACCCTGAGATGGGGATTGTACAATAGAACCTCCTTCCTATGAGGTGGGTTTGTATCTGCTGACCCTTCCCCTGGGGCTGGGAGAAAGTAGTACAGCGCAAGGTGTGTGGCACACAGTAGGCACACAATACTTAAAGAAGGGAGAGAAGGAGGCAGAATGGAGGACAGCAGAGCTACAGTCCTAGTGGCAGGAGGCGAACCAGGCAGGAGGGAGGCTGGTGGGACCGGGATGCGGCCTTGCCAGAAGCAGGAGGCGGAGGCGGGCCCAGTGACGCAGCAGACAGTGCGGCCTCCCCCCCACCCGCCCCCCCGGCACCTCTCTTTCCGGAGCCCGTCATCAGGCTGGCAGTGAGGATCAGTCCTGGAGGATATAAGCGGGGAGGGGGCAACGGGGAGCCACGGCAGGTGCGGGAGTAGGGAGACGGTAAGGGCCAATCAGCAGTCAAGACTCCTGCAACCCCACTTTGTCCATGGGTGTATATATTTATGGCAAATGAGACCTTTACAAATGAATGTAGATTGCTCTGAGTTAAAACTTGTAAATAACTAAAAAATCCAAAAAAACAAACATCAAAAGCCCTCTGGGTAGTCACAAAACATTTTATTCCCTGAGGAGCCAGCCTCCAGTCTGCACTCTGCTGCCTTAGGTGCCCGCGCCGCCGCCCAGTGCCCGAGCCCAAGCCCCACACACCCGTCCACGGCCAGCGGGGCTGGGTTCATGTCTTTACCTCGATCGCCCTGGTGAGAAAGGCGCGCTGGCACGGGGGGAAATGCCTCTGTCAAAACAGCTCAGGCACTCAAGGACCTGAACCGCCTCCTTCTCTGAGCGCTGGAGCGAGTGTGCGTACCGGCCGTGAGCCCTGTGAAGGCCCCTCTGGTCCCAGTACAGTTCCCTGAGTTCTTGGGGAGCCCAGGTGTGGGGGCTGGGTCCTGCCAGGGACCCTGGACACTGGGTCAACAAAGCCTGAGAAAGATAGCTGCCTCCCTCCTCTGCCCAAAGTTTCTGCCACTAGAGCACTGGATACCGCAGGCATGGCGGGGGCAGTCCCATGCATGGCCTCTCAGGCCATTCCTACCAACTGAGAGGTCCAAGACGTAGCAAGGGGTTGGAAATAGAACCATTTTCCCTGGCTGAAAAATGCTGCCTGCTTTAGTGGCATGTGAATCCAGAAATTTCCAGTTGGCTTTAAACCTTGGCCAGAACTCACCCATAATTAAACTACTGCAGGTTCACTACCAAGGAGAGGCTGGCCACTGTTTAGGGTGCAACCCATGATCAAGGTTGCGGCAGGGGTGTGGCACTTTGACTCAAAGGGGCTGGAAGCAGCAGCAGCTGCTGGAACCCCGGCTGAAGTGCTTCTACCGGTAGCTGCCATGGAAAGAAATGGCCCCTCCAGCTGAGAGTCTACGGAAAATGATGAACATAGAAGGAGCGGTATGGGGTGACTTTTGAAGGCTGTGTAGGAGTTTGCCACAGAAGTATTCATATTCACTCGCAAACCATTCCCGGCACCCCTCTGTGCCCTCAGAGGACAAAGGTCTCAGGCTTCTGGAGGAAGTTGTTATCTCTTCCTGTGAGGGGCAAAGTCAGCAGCCCAGAGGCTAGGGACGCTGATATCGCTTCAGTACACCTGCATGTGCCTGCCGCAGGTGAGGTTGGCCTGGCTCAGTGTGTTCCACATGAGCAGCATCTCGTAGGGCAAGAAGCGGTGCACCAGCAGCAGATCTCGGTAGAAGCAGGGGTCAAAGGAGGACAGACGCGCTGAGGGAGCCCAGACGCCAACAGTGCGGATGCCACTGTGTGAGGCGGGCTTCAGGCCCTCCTGCTTCAGGCACATGCCCAGGAAGACGTCATCGATGGGAAGGAGGTCTAGGGCCGGGGCAGCCCGACGCACAGCAGCCGCGGTGAAGCGGGATAGCAGAAAGCCGCCACCTCCACAGTAGGGCGGGTAGTGCTCCTCCTGTGTCACTATCTTTGGCACATAGTACTTGCTGTGGGGGGACCGGATGGGGCCCACGTTCTGGATCAGTTGCCCCACAAAGAGATGGTGGTCAGGGTCGTGGTCCTGCAGGTAGGAGACCATGTTGTCTGTGTGCGCAAAGACATCATCGTCCCCGTTGAGCAGGAAGCTAGCATTGCTGCACCGAGTCTTCTGCCACTGTAGGAAGAGCACCTGTGGGCGGGTGGACAGGGCATGTGAGCTCAAGGGCCGGGACGGTCAGCCTCAGCTCCCTGTTGGCCGCCCCAGCCCATCGGGCACAGCCGAGGATGTGTCCCCGTCAACCCAGTCTGGGTTTGAGGTCCTATGCCATGGGGTGACCTCAGCAAACAACTGCTCCTCTCTGTGCCTCAGTTCCCAACTTTCCACTCAGGCCTCACCTCAGGACCTGCCTACAGGATCGTTGGGGATCCATGAAGATGATACTTTTTAAAGCGCCAAGAAAATTGGCACATTTACGTTTATTCCTTCCCACGGTGCCTGGCTGGGTGCCACTGTCATATAATTACTTGGGTGGTCGTCATTGGACACCGACCCCCCCCACCAGACTCTGGGCTTCCCCTGTACCTCCTACCCGTGCGCGCTACCTGTTCCGTGCTCCCAGCACCCACTGCGGGCTCAGTGCCTCATGCTGGCTAGATTCGTGGTTGTCAAGCTGATATTTACCATGAGCTTCGGTGTTTTGTGTAAGAAGGTGGCGTGTTGGGGAGCCCTGGCCCTCTGCTTGCTTCGGCTTCAGTTCCCTCCATCGTGCCCTTTGCTGGCTACCAGGTACTGTCCTGAGGGCCTGCCCTGCTTTGAGTCCCTAATGCAAGCATAGGAGGCAGGTGTCGTTTTCAACCCCATTGATAGATGAGGAAATAGAGGCTGTCCAGAGACAGCGCCTTGAGCAAGGTTACCTAACACAGAAGTAACCCCTTGAGGTCATGACCCCAGGCCTGCCTGTACCTACTAGGAGCAGGACCCTGCACTGGGTGTCCACGTAGTTTGCTCCACACGTCCCCATCCACTTCGGTGGGTCCTTGGAGCCTCCACTGCCTCCTCTGCATGTGGATTCTCTCTACCTTTCATGGGTTCTTGTCCAGCGAAAACATTTTTATGGAGTACCCGCTGCACAGATGGGGCCTCAGGAGGGACCAACCAAATAAACGGGGTGTGTTCTGTCCAGTACCCCGCCTCCCCCGACTCCATTGCTGATGTTATTTGAGTGCCTGGTACTGGTCCAGGTGCCTTCTAAATATTATCTCTTGTCATCCTTATAGCAGCCCGCAGCGGTGGGTGAGTCCAATTAATAGCCCAACTTCCCTGATGAGAAAACTGAGGCACAGAGAGGTGAACGGTCAGCAAGGGCAACGCAGAGCCTGAATTTCAACCTGAGTCATCAGGCCCCTGGAACCGGGCTTGCAACCTCCCGCCAGCCTGTGCTTTCTACCCGGCCTCCCCTAGAGATGCCGTGAGGACAGTAGAGGGGGTGGGGTGAGGTGCGGGGTCTGCTGGTTTCCCTGAGCTCCTCAGAGGATATGGTGGCGATCTGGGCAGGAAAGACAGGTGGTCCCGATCAGGTGACTTTCGGCCAGCTCACCTGCTTGAGTGTGAGGTTGAAGAAGGAGTCGTGGAAGTCCCACTGCAGGATGTCGCCGTGAACCCTTGCCTCTATCGCCAGCAGCTGGTTGACTTTGCGGGCCTCGTGCGGATCTCGGGCTGTGCCCACCAGGAAGAGACGGCGCAGCCGACTGCCCCGCACAGTCCGCTCGCGGCCCCAAGTCTGCCGTACCACCTCCCGCCGCTCGTAATTGTGGGGCGACGACTTGATGACTAGCAGCAGGAAGACCGGCTGCGCGCACTTGCTCAGCGGCACGTCCTGCAGCAGCGGGAAGTCGCGGCAGTGTTTGTGCAGCAGGAAGTCGCGGACGTGCTCTGGCTGCTCTGCGAAGCCTGGTAGCTGAGCCAGGGAAGAGTTGGCCCTGCAGGGCCCCGGCGTGGGGAGGGTCACCTCCGGGAGCCAGACCAGAGCCGCGGGGTTGTCCAGCGGCTCTTTCCCTTGTGCGCAGGGGCCGCAGGGGCCGCACGGACGTGACACGTGCAGACTGAGGAGGAGGAGGAGGAGAGTGAAGGTGCAGAGGACCGCAGCCAGGAGCACCTGTGGTGAGGGTCTCGGATACCTCATCCTGGACTGCAGGGTTTGGGATTGATCCAAGGGGATCCCTGGGCTGGCTCCTGGGGAGAACAACACTCACTGAAGATCCCAGACGGGCCAAGCACCTTTCCTGGGCCACCTGCGGACCCCAACACCTGGTTGCAGCGCACAGTTGCTCAGGTTGGTAAAATAATGAATTTCACCCCCACCTCGTCCCCCACACCCCGCCTCCTCCAGGTGGACTCAACCCAGGTAGACTCTGGCAGTTGCGGGGGCCCCGCTAGGGATCGCTGCCTCTCTCCTTCGCCCCTTCTCTCTCCCTCTCTTCCCCTCTCTCTAAAAATAAATAAATAAATATCTCAAAAACAAAGCAAAAGAAAACCTCAAGCACGACGTTTGCCAACACAATGTTGCCCGCCTCCCAGTACCCAACGTCTGGACTGGACGGGCGTGATAAAGGGCACCCCGCCTGCCCTCAGCAGTCCTGGCGGTGCCGAGAGTTCGCTGGCCCGTACACCGTGCTGGGTGCTTCTGTGGGCTCTGCCCAGGTGGTCGCTACGCTGTCCTCCTGGGTGTCACTGTCTGAAGGGGCTAGGACCCTGTACCTGCTGTAGGGGACCCTGGGGTTAGGGGCTCGGCTTCCCCAAGGAGGGGATATCACTTGGTATTACCTCCTCCAAGTGACTGGGCAGCAACTCTGGGGCCACGAGAAGCTCCCCTCAGGCGTGGGTTCAAGTCCCTGATCCCCACGCAAGACCCTGCTGTCCACCCTCTCCAGGTCTCATTGCGAAACACAATGACTGGACTCATTGAAGCGCAATGGCTTCTTACTCTGAAGTTCATAGGGTCTGAACAACTCTGGGGGAGCCTCCACCCCCGCTTTGTAGATGGGGAAATGGAGCTTAGGGAGTTGTCCCCAGTGGATGCCTCATGTTGCCACAGGGACAACCTATTTGGTCTCCAGGTTCTTCAGCCCTAAGAAGGGTCTTCAGCAGCTCTTATCCCAAAATACACATATGAAAGCCACACATTCATTAATTTATTTAACAAACAGGTTCTGAGGAAACTAAGATGCTTCAATTATGGGGCCTGGTCCCTTGGAAGACCCTAACTTGTGGGAGACAAATTTGGACACCTGTGGGATCAGGGCTGGGCCAGAAGAAGGTCCAGGATATTGAAGCTGAGGCTTTGAGGGACGAATAGGAGTTCACCAAGAGTGGTCAAGGGGAGAAAAATAAAATGCAAAAGCGCAGAAAAGAAAGAAAATGAGGCACATTCAAGGGATTGCAGTTTATTTTGCTGAAAAGTAGAATTTGGAGAGAGGGTGATTTCTGAGGCGAGGGAGTATGTGGCCAGACCCTGTGAAGACACTGAATGCCATGGAGAAGCGGGGCTATTTCCTGGGGGAGGGGGTGCGAGGGGAAGCTCGGAGGGTGTGCGAGCGGGGAGCAGAGAGGTCAGATTCAGATTCGTTGTTGTGTGGTCCCTCTTTGCTCTGAGTTGACCTTGGCAAGCAGCTGTTCCTTGGGAGCCTGTCACCTCAGGACATGGGCATGGTGACACACCCCGATACAAGTCTGAGTCACTGGCAATTTTTCCTTCAAAATGACCAGAGCCAGCCATTTGGGTCTGAGCTGTTTGCTCTCTATGCTCTGGTGCAATTTCACCATCAGCCAGAGCGCACTCCCTCCAGGGCCCGCAGAAAAGGCTGTGTTTGCGGTGCACCTGCCAGGTGCGGTCATCTCAGGCACCCCCTATCCTCCTCCCCCCCCAGGACCTCGGCCCCTGTCACGTGCTCCAGCCACACCAACCTCTTCACAGTTCCCTAACCACCCAGGCTCAGCCCTGCCACCGCTACTCCTCCCCACCGGGGGAGCCCTGCTCTCCTGCTCTTGCCCTTGATCTTCAGGCTCAACACAGTCTCCCGCTAAAACACCCTGTCCTGGCTTTGCTTCTCGCTGCAGCTCTCACCATCGGACAAATCTACTCACCTCTGTCCTGTCCACTCCCCAGCCAGCCTGGAGCCCCAGGGGTGGGTCCTGAGGTCTTGTCCCCACAGCTGTGTCCCCATTTGATGCTCACTGGTGCTTGTTGCCAGAGGGAAAAGTACCAATGATGACCCACATATTAGCCATTTCCACGTGCTTCACTTCAGCCCGATGGCACCAAAGGGGACAGCTGCCACACGGGGTCGAGGGGGTGGGGTGTGGGAGGAGGGGGTGGGGGAACCTTGGAGGATGCATTGGAATCAGGGGGCAGGACCAAGAGGCACTGGATATTCCCCACTCTAAATATGCTGAACGTGCAAAAGCCCCATATTCACGACACTGAAATATTCATGATACATTTCATGAGCAAGAAGTGCTGATTGTTAGTGAAGTGCTGAACATTAATGACCCGCTGAATATGCAGGAAGCACCTGGTATCTACATGACACCGTCATAAGGCAGCAATTCATAGTTGCAAGCACATTCATGATGTACCAATAAATATTAATATTGCCACAGTGAATATGAACAAGCCACCAAAGAGTCCTGGGGCACCGATATACACGGTCACTGAATATTCGTGACATTGCATATACACTACTAAATATTAATGACTTGTTGAATACTTATGAGACACTAAGTATACAGAAAGTGATCAACCCTTTCTATACACCCTATCCAAGCAGTTAGGAGTGAGGGGTTGATGAAGACACAGTGTCCCCCGGAGAAGGATGTCTTGACCTGGTTCCTGATCAAATGAGGACCCCTGGACTTTGGCTTCCTGTTTGCAAAATTGGATGGTGTCACCAGTCACCTGCCAAGTCATGGTTGGTCCCCAGCAGGTGCTGAATATCAGTGATACTGTGGTCATTGTTGCTCCTGCACTTTCATCAACCATCCCCTGGGATTTGGACAGCGGCATGGAACATTCTGAAGCTGCCAAAAGCAGAGGGGAAGGGTGGGGGGGACAGAGCATCTGGAAGAGCCCTATTTGTGTGCATAACAACCTGCATCCTCAGAAAGGCCAGAGGACCAATGGCCTTTTCTCCAAGTCACTCATTTACGAAGTGCCAGCAATGACAATATTAATATCATCATCAGTCAGTGTTATCACTTGTACTCAGGACTACTCTGGATACCTGGTCTGTGCCACATCCTGGTCTGGGTTCTGGGCACACAGACAACTTGAGAAAACACCTGCAAGAAAACATCATGGAGCTGATGTGCTGATGGAGGGCAGAGAGGCAGAGAACAAGATGATTTTTCTGGAGACTCAGGAATAAGAACCGGGACTTGGGGGACAGGGTTTAACTCCTTGCCCTGTGACTCTCACTGAGCGCCTGGGGGCAGGGCGGCTGGGTTCCACGATGAACTGGGCACAGAGAGGGAGTCCACCTACCCTCGGTCACACAGCTGCTGAGGCTGAGGGGGGCTGGTGGGATTTGGGCACTGACCTGCTGAGTCTGAGGGTGATCCCTCACCATGAAGTATGTTTGGCCCCCTAGTAGTGATGGGCTGGTCCCTATTTACAGGGAGCATGAGGGGCTTTTGTAAACATAAAAAAGAAGTAAAGCCCAATAAAGATAATTCTCTGAAAGACGAGTCACGCAAGTATGAAGGTGGATTTATACGGGCATCCACGTCAATGAACATACGGGTGTTGAAGAAGGGTGGTGTGATATTTGGATCCGTTGTGTCCTCTCTAGTCCCAGGGCTTATCACCAATGACTCACGGGACAAGCCTGTCCTCCCCTATAGCAGAGTCTGTCCTTCCTAGGATGGGTCCAGGAAGGAATCTGAGGCTGGACTGAGGCTTCTGATTAAAGGCCAGCCCTGCTTCAGCTGAGCCTTAAAGGGCATCTCTAGGCTTGTTTCCTGGTTGGGGAAGCCGAGATCTCACGGTCCCTTCCTGTGGGAACCTCCTGAAGGACCCCCACACTTTCAGGTCGGTCAGGCCCCTCCTCCAGGCCTTGTGCTTAGAGCCCTGCAATCTTTGTATTATTTCTGTCACGCAGAGGTCCATGTGGCGAGTGAGAACACAGTGAGCAGCATAATCAGGTTCAGAGTTCACACACCAGGTCCTGTGTGCAGCCTCTCCCTCACGTGCTTATCTGTAGTCCACACACGTGCTTATCTGTAGTCCACACCGGCAGTGAGAGAGAGGCAGGGCCAAGGTAGCTTTGTTTTTCATAGGTAAGGAAACTGAGGCCAGAGAGGTCAAAGTACTCATTCAAAGAAAGTCAAGTGAGAACTCAAACCCTGCCTTTAACCACTGCCTGGTAGGACTTCCTTTAGGTGGCCATGTTAGTAGTGAGCTTCTCATCATTGGAGGGCAATCAAGGCCAGCCAGACTCCCATCAGGAGGCATGACGATGTGCATCCTCCCTGGTTCACAGGGCGGTAAGAGTGGAGGCATGTCACTGCTCCGATCTGTGCCTTAGAGGCAGTGGCAGGAAGACATCCAGTGACATCTTACCTCCTGATGTCAAGCCAGCTTGCCTGGATTCCCTGAGCTCTAACCTGGGGCAGAGAATCTCTGAGGGCCCTCCTTGGTTTCCCCACACCCAGAGGACTTGGCAGGAGTTGCCAACCCCCAGAGTACGGGAAAGGAAAGGGGAGAATGGGTGGGTGTCAGGGCTGGGCTGGGCTGGGCTGGGTAAATATCAGCTGCTCACTCAGGCCAGGCGGGGGCCCAGCTGACTGATGCAGGGGCTCCACCTTTTCCTTCTGACTCCTCAGCCCTGCCTGGTGTGGCAGCAGCCTCACCACCTGGAAGCCCACAGGGCGGTGGGAGGAAGGGGTGGCCCCAGGGCCAGCTCTGTGCATGAGCAGCTTCCTCTGGGCCCTAAACCCCAGATCTGGACGGCAGGAGTCCCCAGCCCAGGTAAGGCGCGGGATCCTCAGTTTCCCCATCTGAAAAGTGGCCATGAGAAAGAAGTCTGATCCAGAGGGAAAGTCGTCCAGGAACCTGGCTAATGATGTCATTGTAATCGTGGTCATAACAGTTATTATTCATACAGTTACGGTGATGGCTGAAGTTCCCTGGGCACCCATGTCATGGCC